CAGTCCTGTGACATTAGATAAACTCACACTGTCATGCAATATCACCATGATCCATTTCCAGAAGGTTTTCATCTTCCCTAACTGAAACTCTGTCGCCATTGAACACTCACTCCCCACTGCCCCTCCCTCGCCTCCGGCAACCATCATTCTGCTTTTTGTCTCTACGAATTTGACTACTCTAGGGACGTCCTACAGCATTTGTTCTTTTGTAACTGGCTTATTTCACTTAGAGTAATAACCTCAATTTTCATTGACTTTGTAACGTGTCACAATTCTATTTCTTTTTAAGGCTGGATAACAGACCATTGTATGCTTATACCAGATTTCGTTTATCAATTATCATCTACTATTAGACTTTGGGTTGCTTTCACCTTTTGGCTATTGTGAATAATTCTTCAGTGAATACAGGTATATAACTATCTCTTTGGTTCCCTGCTTTCACTTATGTTGGATGTATACCCAGAAGTCAGATTGTTGCCTTATATAATCATTTAGTATTTTGAGGAATCGCCATACCATTTTTCACAGCAGCTGTGCCACTGCACATTGCCACTCATATTGTTTTTATGACAAACACATTTTATGACAAACATATATCTCCACATCTGTACTTGCATATATATTTTCTCTTTATGAGGAAAGGCCATGGGGGAATTTTTTTGCATTGCAAACATTATCAGCAATAGCTTTTCTTCTCCAGAGCAACCTACTTCTTTGTTCCCCCTATATTGGACACTATGAATCATGTGTTTATGTTGTTCTTTTAGCTTTGATCTCTAAGAAACACAGAGCCAAGTTTTCGGCCCACACCTAGCAAGCCCACACCTTGCCCTTTATGAATAATTTTTCCCTGGCTTCAACTTACTTTCATAATTTTATTTTATTTGGCTGAATCTGCTCACTTTCTTTTTCATGATGAACCATATGAATTTGTGTAAGCAGCTGGAACAAAGCAGGCTACAAATAAATAAGCACAGAATATTTAAATTGCATCATATTTAATTTCTTTTCACTTGGAATATTTTGGCATTTGAAAAAGATATCTGTATCTCACTTTTTTCCAAGTTCAATTAGAATTGTAATGAAGCTGGAATTTGTTTGAAATAATTATACTCTATTTTAAGGAAGGACAATATACGTAAAGGTCAAAAGCTGGTAGAAAAATTCAGATAGAGAGAGAAAAAAAGCCCCAACTTTTTAACTCCTTCCCAGTTGCTAAGGAGTATATGTATATAGTTTTAATTCTACACTGTTGATTAAATTATTAACATGGATAGGAAGAAAATCATGTTTCTTTGTCAGCACATAAGCTTGATATTTTCAATGTAACTTATATGAATAGACAAGGCAATAGTTGTTTAAAGGCATTTCACTTTTTGAAGTGCTAAATTAAGCTTTCAGGGTGGATTTCTATGAGAATTCTCAGGAAGCCTTTTCTTAGGAGCACCTGGGAACTATTGAAAGTGATTAGGTAAATGGAGCATCAGTTGAGTACAACGGGTCTCTGTGTGTTCATGTCTTCTCATCCCTCCTCAGCAAAGATAATGTTGTGACCTGAATTCATACAAGATTCTGGAAGATAAGGGGATTTATGAGCTTATGGATTTAGGGCTCAGTAGGGTATGAGTAGAGAGTTCAAGACACTATTGCAGAGCACAGATCAGTTTCTCCTCACCCACATCAAGTTATTATGATTTTTATTACTCTTTCCAAAAAATCAGCTCATACTGCATTTGTTTTCAATGAGAAAAAAGTAATATAAAGACAAACTAATTTGGTTTCATGACAGTGAACCATCATTTTTGAGTTTTTATTATCAATATTTTCCTACAATTTGTACTGAATACTCAGTTTTCTCCTGGCTCCCTGTGTCACAGCAGTGAACCCCATCTTTCTTTTGGCAGTATAGCTTGCTACTTCAATTCTTAAATACAGAGAATTTTTTGTTTCCTCTTTTCTCTTTTGCATAGCACAATATATCTCCTCAATTTATATTTGCTGAATAAATGACTATGGTCAGAAACATCCCACAAAGCCTGGCTGCTTCTAATTTACTGACGTCTGCATTTAAGCATGATAGAACTCAAAAGAGAATGCCTGAGCCTCAGCCTGAGCTTTACCAGAAAGCTGATGGATTGACATAGAAATAGTTCACATATTCCACAGCAATGCCTGGAATTCTGAATCTTCTTTTGCACCAGAGGTGGTAGACGTTTTATTATTTGTTTCTCATCTGTGAATGTGTACACTTTTTCAGATCCTTCAATTGAATCTATTGTTGTCATAAAACAAACTTGCATTGACTACCAGGCAAAAATAGGCAAAGAAGGATCCTGATTTCAATAAATCCCCCATTTCACTGCTGCAACATAACTATACATCACTTCCTTTTCCTATCTGTTCCCCTTCTAACATCTCCTCAATTACAGGAAAATTCAACCACACAAACACAAAATAAGTAGTTAATATATAATCCTGAGTAACTGCATAAAAATTAACTGGCAGATATAACAGCTGCAGATATAATAAATTATCATAAGTTTTTTAAAGAAAAAATTCAGAAGTTGGCCTAGATGGTGGATTTGCCAGTTTACACATGGTGGGGCCTAGGCCATAATTTCTCATGTATATTTCACATTTCAGGTTCTATCACTATAAAAAATGAATAGGTTACTTTATCCATTACGCTACAGTCAGTGTCAAAATTTCAGAAAGTTAATAAAACTTTCATTCATCCAATATAAAGTAATTTTTAAATAATTAATCCTCTTAAACTTTTTCCTTAAATCCTAGAAGGCTTAAATGCCTTGGGTGCTTAAATGGCAAACACACACTCAAGGGTTGCTAAAGAGAAAAGATCACTCAGTCCGAAAAGGGAAGACAGAGAAAAGGGTTCAGTGGTTGGGTGGATTAAGCTGAAATAAGTTGAGGGAATAGGTAAATCTACGCAGAAAGAAAATTGGAACTCAAATGTCTTCTCAGGAAACCCTTGCCCCTGAGAGGTAAGGAGTCTCTAGAAACACCATGTGAAAATACATGTCCTGCCATTACTGGAATCACTTTCAAATTAGACTGCTCAAATATTCAAAAGAATAATCTATGAAAAACTGCATTGTCGAAGAGCTAGACTAAGTGACCTGAGAGGTCTTTTTCATCTCCACCTTAGAGAATTCTATTATCTGGTCTATCTGTATGACAAACCCCTTTAAAAAAAACTGCATTGCATTAAATTGCCTACATACTTTCAGTGGAAAATAAAATGATGTGTACAGTGCACAAATAGCAGCCTCTGCAGGTGTTATCCAGGAAAAAGAATTACAATTTAGAAAACAGAGATATGTTATCCTAAGAACTGTAGGAGTATACACGATAGGTTAGATTCTAGGAATTGATTTTGAAATGACATTTAATGGAATATTGAGTCAGGCTATCATTCTAGCATTTTTCGTTAGCTGTGTGAGTTTAGTTTTTAAATCTATAGCATGAGGGAAGTGGATCATATATTACTATACTCCTTACATCTCTCATTATCAATAAGTTTACAATTCAAATTATAAACTACAATGCTGTGATAGCAAAACCACTGCTGTTCTGACATAAATATTAAAGTGACAATGTTTTTTATGTGTGAAGCTCATTACTGGAAAAATTTAAATGTAATGCTGCAGCAGAACGTCTGGAGAGGAGAATTCCATTGTATTTTCCCAAACACAATTGCCAGGACTTTATTCAGTGAATGAAGTTCACTGGCACAGAAGGCATTTTCCCCTGTAGTATTGTAGTGCTAAAAGCTCTTCAGTAACTGCACCAAATGCCTCATATCCTGCATGTTTATTCACATTTCTCCATCTCAGATGACTTCTGCTCCCTCTTTCTCTTCTTTAGACCCCTGCCTTCTGGTCCATCACACATTATTTTATCTTTTCATTACATTCTCATGATCAATTTCTTTTTAAAAATCTGCTCTTTCAGCTCACTATAAAACTTTGTTTATAACTCTTAAACTTAAAATATGGTTTTATTTAGCAAATCGTTTCTTTTACTTGTATCTCTCTTTAGCCAGAATCTAATCCATGTCTTTTTAAAAACTATATTCACTCTGCTTCCTAATGCTACTCTATATAATCCAATTTATAGGTCCATGATTGCAGTGAAAAGATTCTTGCTAAATCTACAAAGTGGCCACCAAATAGAAAATTCTAACATTCACTTCCACAGTCCTCAATTTTCTTCAACATGTATTTACTTACTCATACATGTTGGGTTCCATTTTAGCGACTGTGATGTAAGATCATTTGTTTGAAAGCATGTGGTCTGGAAGTAGACCACAAACTTGTTTAAGTAATTACACAGGTAAATATAAACTTTCAACCCCGGTTAGCATTTTAAAGAACAGCACATTCTACTCTGATAGCATATAACAAAGGCATCTGAATGTGTCTTTTGAGCTAGAGGAGACATTCCTGAAGGACGGATATCTGAACTGAAGGACAGTGTGTACAGAGCTAAGTCTCAGAAGCATTTTGAACAGTGAGTGAATTGTTCAGCTTGAAATTGTCAAGTGATGACTTTAAAAATAATTTGGAGAATCAAAAATAATATAAAACAAGCCAATAAAAGGCAGACATATCATGACTGAATCCTGGGGAAAAAGAGGCTATTATTTTCTCCAGTTGAGAGACAATGGTAGATTGGCATGAAGTAGCTGTGTTTGAAGACAGAAAGAAATGGATGGACTTGAAAGATATGTATGAGGTACAATGGACAACAATGGGTTACTTACAGAATATGAGGATGAAAAAGGACAAAAGAAAGCTTCCATATTGCTGACTTCCACCACTGGATTTGACTATCCATGGGTTTCACAGATAGTCGATAGAGGTCAACGTTAATGAGATTTGTCTTGAAATCTTTCAAGAGTGTAGTGCCAGGAGAAACCCAGATGCATGACAGAGAGAGAGCTAGATAGTTATTATGATCTAAGGTTCTGAGAGAAGTGTGTGCTCGCTTCGGCAGCACATATACTAAAATTGGAACGACACAGAGAAGATCAGCATGACCCCTGCGCAAGGATGAGAAGTACTATGCAGATTTGGAGGCTTATTTTTATGTGTTTAATTGTCTGGGATTAGCGGGCAAAGTCAAAAGAAAGCCCAGCACAAGCTTCTCGAATGCTCTCATCATATGCTGAGGTGGACAAACAGGTGCAAGGGAGTCTCAGAGAAGTGAAAAATCAGGAATGTATTTTGTGGTGGTCCAAAGAAGAAATACTTCTAGAAGCAAAATAATTACTCCATGAACATCCCAACTAAAATATTTTGCTTGTCCTTTCATCAGCTGCATTTCCTTTCTCTTAGTTTTTCACAATCTATTTTCTTGCATGTTTGTTTTCTATTTATTTTTTATCTTCCCTGCTAGAAAACAAGCTTCGTAACAGCAGGGAGATTGTTCTGTTTCTCACCATATCCCCCATGTCTGAAAGGGTCTGGAATTAATGTTGACTGAATATTGTACAATATTTCACAATTTCCAAAGCTGTCGAGGAGTCTAGCAAGACCTCTCCCACTGCATTTAGGGAGTGAGAGGTCTTCGCTCGCCTCACGGAGTGCTTCCTGGTAGGGTCTTGGAGTTGTGAAGGTGGGGAGGTGGTGAGAAGTGAACAGGGGCCGAGAAGTGGAGAATTTCTAAATAAAATATAAATTTATTTCAAGATATTGGACTGTGAAGAGGAATCAAGTGGAAAGACTATTCTTGGAATGTAATATAAGGACAAATGGAAGTATAAACGAAATTGAAAGTTTGTGGGAAAGATGCAAGTAGAAGAAAAATTTTGAAAGGGAACCAGTAGTGGAGATATCCTGAGAAAAGGGGACAGGATGGATTATAATATGGGATAGTAAGTCTCATCTACCCTCCCATAAAATTGTATGAGGGCAGATGTAGGTAGGTGGAGCACTACACAGAAGTGGGGAGTTTTTACACTATCAGATGGTGGTGGTAAGTTACTGCCAGCATTTGCACTGAGCTTTCTTTGAGTATGGGACTGCCAACCCACTTTCTAAGAATAACCAGTTTTAAGTCCTAGAAACACTGTACCTATCAACTACCCTAAATTGAGGACAGGTTATAGGATACTGTTGAGAAGAGAGGAATAAAGAGAAAAATATGTCCTATCACCAATATATAATGGAAGAGAATTAGTTGCTAATTTCTCCATGAGCAGGAGCAGGGGCTAACATGCATGACCTGGACAGTGCCATGATTAATGTGAGAATGGTTATTCGTGATCATGGTTAATGATTGACTCTTTTGTTTTTGAGAGGGAGTTTCGCTCTTGTTACCCAGGCTGGAGTGCAGTGGCGTGATCTCGGCTCACCGCAACCTCTGCCTCCTGGGTTCAGGCAATTCTCCTGCCTCAGCCTCCTGAGTAGCTGGGATTACAGGCACGTGCCACCATGCCCAGATAATTTTTGTATTTTTAGTTGAGACGGGGTTTCACCTTGTTGACCAGGAAGGTCTCCATCTCTTGACCTTGTGATCCACCCACCTCGGCCTCCCAAAGTGCTGGGATTATAGGCATGAGCCACCGCGACCGGCCTTAATGGTCGACTCTTATATGAGGAGCTATGAAATATTAATGGCTTTTCTTCGTCACTATGGCTGATCAACCATGCTAGCAGTGCTCATGCAGTAAGATTCTTAGTTCTCCCAGAGCCTGCTATGGGGATGAAGAAAAGCATGGTTAACGGTTGACTTTTACATGATGAGCCTGTCTCCTATACTGTAACATTAGGAGACAGGTCACAAGGAGATTTTTAGATCACTCTAATTTGCCTATGCAAAAATATATAAAGTTTTTGAATTATGCCTTTTTTTAAGTAAAATATTATCTTCATAAATTGTGCTCAGCAGACATAAACAGACATTTTATTTTCTCTGTTGTAAACAAGAAAATTACCAGACCATGTCTTTTGGAGGAAGTAGAGAGAACTCCAGAAATAGCATTGACTCCTATGCATCTCCAGCGCAAGCTTTACATAAATATCCTTTACCAGTCTCACAGTTAATTTTTCAAGCGCACACATGCCAGTTACTCTTTTGCCAATTTTTTCTCTGGTGATGGGTACTGACACTGTTTTATCTGCTTATATTACATATCTATTTCATATTTATATCCAGTTTTGCTTTCTTTTTAACTTTACCTGTCTCTATTATTATTTTCTTTAGAACATTAAAAAACTAGGTATTCACAACACTACAAAAAATTTGTAACAAATACTTTTAAAAATGAGAAATAAGTTATCAGTGCATTTGTTTTCTTTGTCTCTCTGTTTACAGTATTTTGACTGAAGGCCTTGCTATTGCCTTGTCAGTTATCATAATTCAAAGAGAAGATTTTTCCCTCATAAATAGTATAAAATATTGTACATTCACAGATATTGAAGAATTTCTCATAAAGTGAAGAAGACTGATCATTGAGTAAGAAAAAGCACATTATCGAGGTGTCTTATTTAACTCAATGCATCTCATCACTGAAAATGCCAATAATCGAAACATTCAACATCTTATGGAAAAACGTTTCAGCTAACTAAAACAAAAATAAATTACTTTGAAATGAAAATAAGCATGTAAAAATAAGGCTATACAGTGTACGTACTAAAGCAACATTTTAAAAAAATTTAGCAAATTAGAAAAAAATACTACTACAATACATTATTTCTAGATGAGCCCTCCTATGAGATACATTTTATTTAAGAAACTAACTTATTTTTTAATTTAATCTCAGAGATCTAAGTTTCCCGGATTAACTTGTTTCTACAATAGAATCAGAGTCCAAGACAAACCATATTTTTTCTTATTACTTTTTTTTTCACCAATATATATTCCTTCAATTCTTGATTCTCTTCTTTAAAGGGCAAAATCCTCCCTGTGTTGTCTGGTGGAAAGAATCAAGTTATCCAGCTCTACACAATCTTATCTAATAAGATAACTAGCGAGAGAAATAGCAATGTCTAAACATTCCATTTCTAAATGACTTGTATAGACATTCAGTTGTTCCTCATTTTTCTTAAACAGGTATTTCATATTAAGATTCTATTTTAAGCCAGGAATAAAAAATAAATATGTATTAAGAATATACTATACCCTATATGTAGTGATGGAAAAATAGACTTCTCATGATAGGTTCTGGATTGAGAATACTGTATTGAGAATACTGTTTAGGCCGGGCGCGGTGGCTCAAGCCTGTAATCCCAGCACTTTGGGAGGCCGAGGCAGGTGGATCACGAGGTCAACAGATCGAGACCATCCTGGTCAACATGGTGAAACCCCATCTCTACTAAAAATACAAAAAATTAGCTGGGCATGGTGGTACGTGCCTGTAATCCCAGCTACTCAGGAGGCTGAGGCAGGAGAATTGCCTGAACCCAGGAGGCGGAGGTTGTGGTGAGCTGAGATCGCACCATTGCACTACAGCCTGGGTAACAAGAGTGAAACTCCGTCTTAAAAAAAAAGGAGAATACTGTTTAATTGGCTAGCAGCATTATTAACCATTTTGTTTCACGGGTAGGATTCAGACTCATTAAAGGTTCATCTTTGCACCTCCTGCACATGACCTCACTGATCAATCATGTTAGCTGTGCTCATGCAGTAAAGATTCTTCATTCTGCCAGAGCCTGCCATGGCAATGAAGAAAAGCAGAACACTCACTTTCGGGATTGATCAGAATACATCAGGCTGTCCTAAGCTGAACTCAACAGGATTAGACTCCCTCATTTTACTTAAATAAAAAACTATTATCACAATGTTAAGATATTTTATTTTCTTTGTTTCATTTTTGTTATTTTCTGATTTTTTTTTTACAAAGCACTGTGCACTCAAAGAGACTTAGCAATACTAACCTCCCAAAGTACAAAAACATCAATTTACTGCGACAGCCATAAGTGCTATTTGTACTTTAAATGTTTTAAATGCTATTACAATGCTTTGAAGAGAGGACTGATATTTTGAAATCAAGTCCAAACATTTCAGAGATACCATCACTAATAAGGAATAAAAATCCATATTAAAATATTGTTTTACTATTAGTCCTTATATTCACTGTAATAAATAACAGATTTGTATGCAATTTTCTATGTTCATAGAGACTATGCCAGCAGAATTGATGAGGATTCAGAGGGTACACCATTAAAAAGGAGACAATAAAAAATAAGACGAAAGGTCAAAGAATCCAATGCCATTGGCTCTTGTCATCTTGCATTATGTATTCTAGTTTAGAATTAACCTAAAATTAATGATCATACATACATTAAACTAGAGAAAGGTAAGCATATTAGCATGGGTGCAGATCTGAGTAAAGAAGCAGAGAGAGTCAAAAGGAATGAGCCAAGAAAAGTAATTAGATGACGTCGACCATATGGTGATTGGGAAGAAGGTTATGAAAGAAAGCTGAAAAAGAACAGAAGGATTCCCAGGTAAGAGGAATGGCATAGAGCATATTCTTGGGTCTTACATTCAATCCTGTCTCCATCATTTTACTCTTGAAAGAAAAGCTTCTGGGATAAAATTAAAAATTGGGGTAAAATAAGTGGTTTAATTTTTTTAAACAAATAGACACTAGAATTCATGACAAACAGTAAGCCAAGTAAGGTGAAAGACATTTAAATACTGATCAAACTCACTTCACATGCATATTGACATAACCAAAACCATTTTCCCAACAGCATTTGGATAATTCATTCAAAATGTATTATACTTATCTCTATTCATTACTCTGATATAAATCTTCCCTTTTTATATTTGATGGCACTACTCATAAAAAATATCTGTGGGAGGTAAACTTTGGCATCTCAACACTATGCTAATAAAAATAAGGTAATTAATACAATGACTTCATTAAAATTATTAGACATTATGTAGAGTCCTTTTGTTCTAGTGCATTTTTGTCAAAGTAGAAATTGTCATAAATTTTTCAATTAAAATTGTATTGATACTGGGGACCCCTCCAGTTGCCTAACACAAAGTTACTATTAATTATTTTATTGAATTTCACATTTAGGCCAGAAGTAAAATCTATATATGTCCATTTCTGTGCTGATTTTTTTCATA